ATTCTTTTTCCGAGGTCCTGGATCATCTTCACTATCATTATTCTGAATTCTTTTTCTGGAAGGTTGCCTATCTCCACTTCATTTAGTTGTTTTTCTGGGGTTTTATCTTGTTCCTTGATCTGGTACATAGCCCTCTGCCTTTTCATCTTATCTATCTTTCTGTGAATGTGGTTTTTGTTCCATAGGCTGCAGGATTGTAGTTCTTCTTGCTTCTGCTATCTGCCCTCTGGTGGATGAGGCTATCTAAGTGGCTTGTGCAAGTTTCCTGGTGGGAGGGACTGGTGGTGGGTAGAGCTGACTGTTGCTCTGGTGGGCAGAGCTCAGTAAAACTTTAATCCGCTTGTCTGCTGATGGGTGGGGCTGGGTTCCCTCCCTGTTGGTTGTTGGCCCGAGGCAACCCAACGTTGGAGGCTACCTGGGCTCTCTGGTGGGGCTAATGGCGGACTCTGGGAGGGCTCAAGCCAAGGAGTACTTCCCAGAACTTCTGCTGCCAGTGTCCTTGTCCCCACAGTGAGCCACAGCCACCCCCCGCCTCTGCAGGACACCCTCCAACACTAGCAGGTAGGTCTGGTTCAGTCTCCTATGGGGTCACTGCTCCTTCCCCCTGGGTCCCAGTGCTCACACACCTCTTTGTGTGTACCCTCCAAGAGTGGAGTCTCTGTTTCCCCCAGTCCTGTCGAAGTCCTGCAATCAAATCCCACTAGCCTTCAACGTCTGATTCTCTAGGAATTCCTCCTCCCGTTGCCGGACCCCCAGGTTGGGAAGCCTGACGTGGGACTCAGAACCTTCACTCCAGTGGGTGGACTTCTGTGGTGTAAGTGTTCTCCAGTCTGTGAGTCACCCACCCAGCAGTTATGGGATTTGATTTTATTGTGATAGCACCCCCCCCCACCGTCTCATTGTGGCTTCTCCTTTGTCTTTGGATGTGGGGTATCTTTTTTGGTGAGTTCCAGTGTCCTCCTGTCAGTGATTGCCCAGCAGCTAGTTGTGATTCTGGTGTCCTCACAAAAGGGAGTGAGCGCACATGCTTCTACTCCGCCATCTTGGTTCAGGGCCTCTTCCATTCTTTTTTATGGCTGAGTAATATTCCATTGTATATATGTACCACATCTTCTTTATCCATTCATCTGTTGATGGACATTTAGGTTGTTTCCATGTCTTGGCTATTGTAAATAGTGCTGCAGTGAACATAGGGGTGCTTGTATCTTTTTAAATTAGAGTTTTTTTCAGATATATGCCCAGGAGTGGGATTGCTGGATCATATGGTAGCTCTATTTTTAGTTTTATAAGTACCCTTCATACTGTTTTCCATAGTGGCTGCATCAATTTACATTCCTACCAACAGTGTAGGAGGATCCCCTTTTTTCCACACCCTCTCCAGCATTTATTATTTGTAAACTTTTTAATGATGGCCATTCTGATGGATGTGAAGTGATACCTCATTGTAGTTTTGATTTGCATTTAATAATTAGGGATGTTGAACATCTTTTCATGTTCTTATTGGCCATCTGTATGTCTTCTTTGGAGAAATTAGATGACTACATTTAATGAGGGAGAAACGGTCAACTTAGAATCACCTCCATCAACATCAGGCATTGTGGTTTCTCATGACACTCATGTTCCCAAGCTCTTACTCAGTGCCAGGCACTCTGTGCTAAGAGCTTCACTCCCAGGAAAGCCCCATAGGAACTGTTTACTATCCCCTTTTACAGATGGGGAAAATGAGGCCAAAGAGGGAAGCAAACGAGCGTCAGGGTTGAGCTGCCACATAGCCCATCTCATGGCACACATGCACTGTTCCCTCTGCCTAGAACGCCCTTCCCCACCCTTCCTGTATTTGTTGTATAAATAGGAGGATAGATGGACCATGAATGATAATAACAACTCCCTGTCCCCAAGCCCTTTCTCTGTGCCAGGCACTGTGCTAGGTGCTTTACATGTATTGATGGTCACAAGAACCTTATGGGTGAAGAACCAGGTACAGAGAGGTTAAGTAACTCACCCAACATCACACCAGCAGAGCTCCAACTTGCTCCCTGGCAGCTGGGGCCACAGGATTCCCTGCTACCCCACACTGCCTGGGTGACCCCTGGCCCATCCTACTCCCTCCCCCCTGCCCCTTGCCAACTCACTGGGGCCCAGGAAGGGGTCCTTCATGCAGGCCATGTGCAGACCGTGTGACCCTGGAGCTGAGTGGACACGGGCAGCAGAGCTGGAAATGGCAGAGCTCGTGGCCCAGAGCTGGCTCCTCCTCTTGCACAGCAGGTGGGAGTGCTGCCCTGTCCCCTACCTATGGATGCCAGCTGGACGGGACAGGAGGGGAGGGCAGTTTCTGTTGAGTCATTCCCAGTGGAACCGAGTCACGGTGTGGGTGGCGTAGGGGTCAGAGAGCTCAGGTTCTGGTAAACTTGTTATTATCGTGCTCCTTAGCAAATCTGCTAAGGTTACACCTCCCGGGGTGCTGGCGGGGCACATGGGGGACCTTGGAGGCTCCACTGTATGGATCCTAAACAATATGGTGGGGCAGAGCTAAAATTAACAATGGGAAACCACCAGCTCCTCTTGCCCTCTAAGGAAAGGGGGCTAACAGGGTCTGTGGGCTTCTGGGGAGCACAGAGCGCTCATGCCCATGTTTCATAAGAAGGGAACCGGGCTGCACAGAGCTGGCCCCTTGTGAGAGGGGTGAGGTACAAGGGGCCTGGGGGCAGGCAGCCTGGGTCCAGATCAAGTTCTACCCTTTACGCTCACTATGTGATCGCAGGCAAGTCGCTTAACCTCTCTGTGCCTCCAAAAAACCCATCTGAAGAAACTGAGATAATGACAGCACCTGCTCCCCAGGAATGAACGGACCTGGCACGGGGCACCAGGACCTTCAGCTTACCCCTTATAGTCTCATCAATGACCTTACCAGGTAGGCGTTGTGACAGCCATTTACAGATGAAGGAACTGAGGTTAAGACTCTCTCAGGGGCCACGCAGAGCTAGTGAGAGGTAGAAACAGTCAGGGTTCAAACCTGAACAATGTCCTTGTCTCGGCGTCAGCTTGCTCCTATTTATTTCTGAGCCCTCTGAGCCCGCCACTATGTGTGGCACCTGTTAGATGCAGTCGTTGTTGTCAAGCAAATAGATAGAATGGGTTGGGGAGGGGTAGTGAGCTCCCCGTCACTCCAGAGGTATGCAAGCACAGCCTGGGCATGGTAGGGGCCCTCAAGCGTTGGATTTGGGGTTGAACTCAGTGCTATTCAAGGCCCTTCCCTGCCTCCCTAGATCATAGAGCTCATCACTCTCTTTCCCCGGGACACAGGGATTCTTTGGCTTGTTTTACAGTGGGGAAAACTGAGGCCCAGAGCCAGGATTTGCCCAAGGTCACTCATCCAGCTCCAGGTGAATCTGGGCTGGGGCATCAGTCAAGGTAGATGGTCAGCTGAACCCACCTCACACCACCCCAGGCACAGGGAGTCAGAAAGGTGGGCTCCTGCCTCTGAGGGACTAGAGAAAGGGGGCTGGGTGAAAAGGAGGATGCAGGCCCTCGGACAAGGCAGGGCAAATCCTGGAGCCAAAGGCAGGTGCTCAGGGGTGTGCGGGGCCAGGGAGCAGGCGAAGGCCACCGGAAATGGCAACCTCAGACTCCTTTTGGTCCCTCGTTGGACAAAATGAACAAATGAGAACCCAGAGAGAGATTCTTTTGTCCCGGGACTGTGATATCATGCAGTGCACAGGACTGCTGAGAAAGGAAGAGGAGGGGGAGTTGGGGCGTGGGCCTGGCAAAGCCTGATGCTCCAGCAAAGGTGGAGGACGATTCACACCAGGTGGGAGTTTTCTGGCCCTACTCAGCCCCCTTCCGGCTCCTGCCTCACACCAAAGTCAGAAATAGCTGTTATTTTCTACGCATTGGGGATGCACAAAGCCCCGTTCACTCATTATGCTCTGCATTTATCCTAACACAGCCCTGTGAGGTAAGCGCTGGGAATACCATCACCTTCATTGCTTCAGAAGAGGAGACTGCAGCCAGAGAGGTTAAGAAATGCCCGAGGCCACACAGCCGGTGAGAGGCAGAGCTGCTGGCTGCTGGGTCCCAGGTCTTTGCCCCACGTCACCCAGGCTCTGATGGCCTCCTTCTGGGGATAGAGGATGCCCTCCCTTCTCTCCAAGGTCATCTCATCTGAACTTCAGGGTGAGAGTATCTCAACCTCAGCATTCACCTTCTGGAAAATGACTCGTGCTCTGGCCAAGAAGCTGCAGTCCTTGCCCAGGACGCGGGGCAGGTAGCAAAGCGGCCACCACGGTCAGCTGTAAGCCTTGGCCACCCACGTTGATCACCCACCCAACGGGAATCTCCTTTTTTTTTTTTTTTTTTAAACCAGCTTTTGGGAGCTAGAGCTCACATTCCATATACTTCACACCATCAAAGTGCACAGCGGAACGGTTTTAGTCTATCACAGAGAAACCATCACCACAATCGCTTTCAGAACATTTTCATCACCCCCAAATGAAATCCTGTATCTCGGGGCAGTCACTTCCCATTCCCCGCCCTCACTGCCCATCCCAGGCAACCACTAATCTACTGTCTCTATGGATTTGCCTCTTCTGGACATTTCTAGAGATGGAGTCACAAGAATTGTGTCTTTCGCAGGCACCTCTTTTTGAAGCCTCATAATCACCTCTTGCAGGAAGACTGTGTTCTCTCCATTTTATAGGTGAGGGAATCGTGGCTCAGAGCGATCAAGTAACTTGCCCAAGGTCACCCAGCTCGGGAATGGTGGGCAGATTTGGACCATGTCTGTCTGGCTCCAGAGACCCCAGGCCACCCTCTTAGGCCTCAAGCCCAGAGTTGCCTGACAGCTTCAGGGGCCTGAGGTTAGGGGTTTGGGGGCAGGAGGAAGGCGGAAAGGCTAGGGGTGTTTGTGGGTGTGGAAGCCAGGGCTGGAGGGGCAGAGAGCCTAGGGGAGGCACTGGGTCCCACCACCACACAGCAGGACGCCAGGGAGGAAAGGAAACTTGCAGGATAGGCCGCGGAGGCAGGAAGGGAGTAGGGCGGCCGAATTCCCCCTGGGGTGGCAGTCTGCCAGCCTCCGCCCCAGCCCCGCCCTTCCCGATGATTGGTCCAGTCACATCCCCCCCCCCCCTCCCGTGACTCCACTGCCACCTCCTCCCGCTCTGGAAATAGCTCTCTGCCCCCTTGCTCCCAGACCCGGGCCCAGTAGGATGACTCAGCATGAGATCCAGAGCTGGCTGTCATTCTGCCCCCTCCTCCGCCCCCCAACCCGTCCCGTCCCTCTCTAGCTGGAGCTCCCAGGAAGTAACTACCACCAGACCCACGGCGACTGTGCCAGGATGGCCTCGGCCCGCACGCCCTCTGGGCCAGGCTCATCTTCCCTCACGCCCTTCTAGTTAGGGGGGCTCTGCTCACCTTTTACTGGAAACCCCCCTTGGGGTGCATGTAAGAACTTCAGATCCTCTTGCAACGCTCTCTGTGTTTTTTAAGTTATTTCTGTATCTTGACCCCCCCAAAAACCAAATTTTAGAATATGCTCTTTCAGGCTGCTCTCAGCTTTGGACCCCCAATCTGACCCATCCTACCAGCCCCCTTGGGAATCACCAACTTAATAAGTTTACCCATTCATGGATGGGGAAACTAAGGTTCAGAGAGGGAAAGGGGCTTCCCCAAGGTCACTTGGCTGGGAAGGGGCAGGCTTGGAGCATGAATGTGTATCCCAGTCCCCTGGAAATGGCATTCTGAGGGTTTGCTTTTGGGCCCAGCCTGCCAGTGTGAGGAGGGGGACTCTTGATCCTTGGTGGCTTAAGAGTTAAATGATAGGGCTTCCCTGGTGGCACAGTGGTTGAGAGTTTGCCTGCCGATGCAGGGGACACGGGTTCGTGCCCCGGTCCGGGAAGATCCCACATGCTGCGGAGCGGCTGGGCCCGGAGCCTGTGCTCCGCAACGGGAGAGGCCACAACAGTGAGAGGCCCGCGTACCACAAAAAAAAAAAAAAAAAAAAAAGAGTTAAATGATAGGAGCAGCTGTTCATTACACCAGAGTACCAAACTTTTGTTCAGTTCCATCCACTGGTTCATTTAGAGCCAGACAGCCTGGGTTGGAACACCAGCTGCAGCAAACTTAGTGCTCTGTGACTTTGAGCAAATCATTTAACGTCTCTGAGCCTCCCTCTCTCATCTATAAAATGGACATGATAATAATAGCCCCTGCCTCATAGGGCCGTAGCGAAGGTTAAATGAGTGAATACGCCCACAGCGCTTAGAAAGTGCCCAGCTCACGCTGAGTGCTTGATAAATGCAGGCTGTTTTGTTACTATTCCTGGCGGATGCATTATGTGGGCCGGACCCAGTGCCCCTCCCCTCCCTCCAGCCTCAAGGAACTCACTGGGAAGCGGAAGAAACTGTCTAGAAAATAGGGCTGCTATGGTCCAGAGAGGTAGGGGCTGGGGTGAAGATTGGGGCTGGGGTTGCACGACCCAAAAAGGGGGCCTGGCCCAGCCTGGGGGTCCCTAGGGAGCTCCACGATGCTGTGGAAGGTGACAGCTGGGAGTCGGAGGTCGGAGTTCCAGCTCCAGCTCTGCTGCCCACCTGCTCTGTGACCTTGGGCAGGTCACTTGCTGACTCTGGGCTGCAGGCTCTTGCCCTGCATGGCGGAGGTGCCAGGTCTCCGGGGATCTGGGCAGCCAGACGTCCGGGAGGACAGCCATGGCTCTCTGGGCTATTTTTACTTGGACTGAGGGCAGTCACACACTCTTCTTGGAATCAGAACCTGAGAGATGCCAGACGGAGCCCCAAGGTTATGCAGCACGACCCCTCCTGTGTCTGAGGCTGGGCCAGCTCACTCAGCAGCCTCTTTGGGCCCAGTCTGGTCCCATCTATAAAACCCAAGGTGGGGCATCCCTCTCTCTCTGGTCCCCCAGAACACTGCACCCCAGTTATTACAACCTGACCTCATGCACCGCCACGCTTGGACACATTGCTATTTTTATTTTAAGCCGTTTAGAAAGCCACAGAAAAGTTATGAGATTGGAGATGGGGAGAAAAGCTGGGAGTGGAGATGAGTGACAGAGATGCAGAGACACAGAGATGGGGAGAGAGAACAGAGAGATGGAGATAGAAACGGACAGGCAGAGACAAAGATAGAAATGGAAAGAGAGGTATAAGTCAAACACAAGGAGACAAAAGTAGAAAAGTATTTAAAGAAAGAGAGGAAAGACCCGGGGGCGGGGCAGGGCGGGGGGGGGGGGGGGGGGGGGGGGGGGGGGGGGGAAAGCAGTGGGGAAACAGCGCGGGAGGGAGGAGATACAGAGAGGAGGAGGGGCCAGGTACAGGGTCGGCCAAGCTTTCTCTTCTCTGGGCCTCAGTGGTCTCACCTGTAAAACCACATCTGAGCTAAGTGACCCCCAAGGGCTCCCTGAACTCTGATGTTCAGACCCTGTGGTGTGAGGCATCTTGAGAATGGGTTGGAGTGATGGGTCCCACCAACCTCCTAACTCTTCAGAGTTGGGTCATGCTTTGATATTCACTCCCCACTGTCAGCTCTATATAACTAACCCCATCTGGCATGTGGGAAGCTGAGGATCAGAGAGGGGCAAACATTTTTCTAAGGCCACACAGCCGACTGTGATGGGAAGGGACCTGGGCTGCTGAATGTGGTGGGGAGGGCTTTCCACCCACCTTCCGACTCCTTGTGTCTGTGGACCCATATCCCAGTATCCCCGGTGGCTGTCACATTGCCTCCCCTGCTTCATCCCCTCCCTGGCCCTCGGTGCTCAGTGGACCAGGGCAGAGGTGACCCAGCCACATACACACTTTTTCCATGCTGCCTGTGGACACTCTCTGAACAAAGGGCAAGAAGGGAACGTGTGTTCCTCACCCAGGCTCCCTTCTCCCCATTCCTCAGTGAGCTACTGCACCTGGGACTCCTTCACTAAGGAAAGAGATAAAATTCAGGGAGAAGAAGTAAAGCAGAGCCTGGGTTCCTGCTGTTGGAACGTGGAACAGTGCGCCCTCGCTGAGTGTGCTGACATCCCAGCCCTCACGGCCAGCACTGTGGGTTCCCTACCCAACAGCCCTCTCCTCAACTCCATCCCACCAGCTGCCTCCCTTTCCTTAAGAGTCTCACATTGGTTTGGGGGTTCCACACCCCCCCGCAATGATGCTCAGGGAAGATGACTCCAGATGGCCCCAGAGGCGAGTTACAGTTGCTCTCAGCCCGTCATGGTGGTCTTGCCTGTGATTGGCTTAAGCATGGACATGTGGTTGTTTCCTGGGAAAGGGTGGCTGAGAGGGAATTGGTCAGAGTGGAGGGAGAGGGGCTTCTAGGAAGTTCTTCTTTGTTTTCAAAAGGGGACATGAAGCAGAGACTTGCCTTTTCCTGCCTTTGGATGTTGAATGAGGATGTGATGCCTGGAGCTGTGGCAGCCATCTTGTGACCTTGAAAGGAAGGTGAATTGTAGAGAAGAAGACCTCACGCTGCATAAGTGACCCCGAGCTGGAGCCCCCTTGCTGAGCCCTGTCAAGCCCAAGGGCCATGAGAGGCAATAATGAAATACTGAACTGTTGTATTTTAAACCATTATATTTTAGGGTGATTTATTATACAGCAATAGAAGTCAGAACAGTAAGTGTTTCATAGATATTTGGTGAATTCATGTATTGCGTACATGATTAGGTGGACTTTTTTTTTTTTCTAAGAGAAGCTGCCACGTAAAAGAATTCAAGAGTTGCCATTGAGTAGCAGTGACCTCAGGTGCCCTGGAGTAGGTCACCTTTCCTCCAGAGAGTTCCTCAATGGCTTTTCGTAGACACTGCCACGTAAGGTGAGAGGTGAGATACAAGTGACCCAGATCTGGCCAACCCATAGCCTTTGGAACATCACCCACAACTTAGGAACCTTGCCAGCCCAGCCTGTAGACACTTAGTGGGGATTTGGTCACTTGTCTTCAACTGGCAGATCATTGAGTCTCACCTGCAGAATATCACAGAATGTCATCGGCTCTGCCTCAAGGTGCCCACAGCATGGAGGGCAGGCGGGACTCCAGGACGCAGGTCACTGGAAGAGGGAGTGTTGGCCTGTCCAGAAGGTGTATCAAGATCACAACCATGTGGCTAGTGACAGGGGCAGCACCAGAGGCTGCCACAGTGGGACAGATCGGAGCCTCTGGGCCTCTTCCCACCACATTTGCAAGGACTGGCTCCCCTTGGACTGAGTTAGCCCTGGACCCTTGGTCAATTCAGGGAGAAGAAAGGAGGCCCCGAACGAGAAGTTGGACTTCCTGCTAATTTGAAAGTGGAGGCTCAAGCTGGTTTTACTTTGAAAAATGTGGGAGTTGGGGTTCTATTTACCCCTAAGGGGATGAGGCATGTCATGCTGCTTAAATAAATCTGGAGATCCCCCGAGGCAGGGAGCGGTTAAGAGTGAACACCCTGTTATACCTACAGTAGAAATTAACACAACATTGTAAATCAACTATACGTCAATAAAATAAATTTTTAAAAAGCCATCAAAAATCAACATTATGGTGGGAAAAAAAAAAAGAGTGAATACCCTGGGTGCAATCCCAACCCTACTACTTCTCAGTCGGTGATCCTAGGCAAGTTGTCTCAGTTTCCCCATCTGTAAAATAGGGATGGTGGTTGTACTAGTAAGGGTCCGCCAGAGAAACAGAACCAATAGGAAGTATATAGAGAGAGATTTATTTAAGGAATTGGCTCACACGATTCTGGGGGCTGGCTAATCTAAGATCTATAGGGCAGGCCGGGAGCTTAGACAACCCCGTCCCCATCACCTGCACACTCCACCATCTAGCACTTAAACCTCTTCTTGACACCCAGGCATCTTAGCCTGGCACAGATGAGCCCCCACCCCCAGAATTATCTAAAACCACCACTCGTTTCTCCTTCACACAATGGGCTCCAGCTCCATCGGAAATGGGATGGAGCTGGGACCTGGGACCTGGTCCATCCCAGCTCTACACCGTTACACCTGTTCTTCCCTCTTGCCTGATTCCCTACCATAAGGATGATAAACTTCTGCCCATCCTTCAAGACCCAGCATGCCTGATCCCCTCTAGGCAATATTGATTTTGTCTCTCCTCTCTGCTTATCACTGTGCCCTGTAGACACCTCCGTGCCCCTTTCTCTCTTTCCCTCCTCCCCGCCTCCACTCCCACCAGATTGCAAATGAAACTGGAGAGTTTGTCTTATTCCTTTTTACTTTTTTTTTTTTTTTTTTTTTTTTGGGGTTCCGGGGGCCTCCCACCGCTGTGGCCTCTCCCGTTGCGGAGCACAGGCTCCGGACGCGCAGGCTCAGCGGCCATGGCTCACGGGCCCAGCCGCTCCGCGGCATGTGGGATCTTCCCGGACCGGGGCACGAACCCGTGTCCCCTGCATCGGCAGGCGGACTCTCAACCACTGCGCCACCAGGGAAGCCCCCTTTTTACTTTTACTTCCTTATTACTTTTTGTTGTTGAACGGTCTAATTTTATTTTTATTTATTTGGCCTCACCTGGAGGCTTGTGGGATCTTAGCTCACCAACCCGGGATTGAACCCAAGCCCTCAGCAGTGAGAGCACAGAGTCCTAACTACTGGACCACCTGGGAATTCCCTGAACGGGCTAATGTAAACATGACATTGCTCCGAGACTGAGCCACATGAGTCTCCAAGTTTATTAGGGTTGCACCCAGTTAGCGGTACATTCATTTGTGCTCAGATATAGGTTTCTCTTTGGTGTTGTGACCTTTACCTGTGTAAATGCGCGATCATGTTGATGAGCATCTAGTTTAGAACGGATCCATGCACTTTCTGAAGTTTAACTAGTATCTAACTGTGACGTGACTTTGATGAATATTCTCCCCTCCACTTACTGCCCCAGCCTCCTATGCTCCTGTTCTGAATACCCGAAAAGC